AATAATTGATATTTTTTGTAGTTTATGATGAATAAATTGAAAACTGGATGTGATAAATGGGTATTTTTTTAGAAACAGATTTTGTACAATATTCTACATAATCTTCAGTAAAAATGTTGCTAATTTTACGTATATTTTGGCTTCAATACAAGAAAAAACGCAAAAACATCTGAAATTTTAGTAAATTTTGAGGATTTTTACGTATTATTATTTTACCAATATGTTTATTAATACAAAATTATTATCAAAAGATAGAGAATTAAATAAGGAACATTTTCCTAAAAAGAAAAAATCTCTATCTGGTATAATTAATGAGTAATTAATTAATTAATTTTGAAAAAATGCAATTTTTTACTTTTTATTCAATTTTTCTGTTTTATTTTAATTTAAACCGCACAATAAATATGAAAGTAAAGATTTGCATACTTTTTAGTGATTCTTGGAGTGGCCACCCACTAATTATCTCGTTTTGGTCTCGTCGTCCATCTCGAGAGTGTGTCAACATCGCAATTTATTGTTGCATTAACACTCAAAAAACGGCGCGTTTGATCTCATATCCACCCATTCGTTCCATTAACAACTGGAATCAATTGGGATCCATTAAATCATTGCGTCATGGCAATCTGGACGCTTTTTACTCCCGTCCCAAAACAAGTGTAAAGCGTAAAACACTCAAACTACATTATGACTTACAAAAAAATATAGATAAACTTTGTTTAAGCTTCTTTTCGTCGAAATCTATATTTATGTCAAGCTTACCCGCTGACACATCATTATCCTGATTAGTCAGCAGGAATGTGTTGTGGATGATAATGTGGAACATAAAATTTAATAGTAATTTTTGAAATTTTTGCTTTCGATCATAAATCTGTTTTAATTTCGTTATAATTCGTCGATTAAATTACAGAAACTTCCGTTTTATACCCGTTTGAACGACTCGCGGCGCAATTAACGGGTTTTCAAACAAGTCTATGGCTGTGTCGCTTTGTTCCTGTTCAGTGTCAGTATTCTATGAGTTGAAAAATAGCCAAATAGATAGAAAGATGTAACAGTTATGTTCGATTGTCGATGTAAACGCCGATTAACATAGTCTTGATTTGCGTGTGCTCTCCACCGGAGGGAAAGTTGCATTAGTCACATTAAGGCGCTCACTCAATCAGTCGATCATTAATTCCAATGTGCGTTGTAGGTCTAAGTTCAACAATCTATTCATTAATAGACATTCGGACATGTTAATAGCTTTGACTTGGCGGGGAACACACAGCACAGATTTTAATTATCATTCAAAATGCATATATAGCATTGTCAAATGATTTTTTCATTTTAAATAAAAATCTGACGAAAAAATATTTCCATGCATTGTGGAGTAATCTAGGTTGGAAAACGTGAAAAGTTCAATAAATAAGAAATTATTGCAGCCATTTCAGACAACAATGCGCTTCTTAATGCATAATGCATCAGCGTAATAGTAAACTTAATGAAATAATGAATGGGAACTTCGAAGTGAATGTGTCGTTACGCTCGCTTATGCCGTTCCGGCCCAGGCAGCACCATCACAAGGTGCATTCAATAGAATTTAATATCATGCTATCGTTATGCAGCAAACATTGCAAACAATACTTCGCACAACTGCATAAACGCGTTTTTTTCGCTAATTAACTCACGGCGCACACCTTCGTGTGATGCAAATGCAATTAATCGCACTCGTAGTCATTTCCCAGCCTGTGTTTATTACTATTCACGCTGGGAAACAAACACCGGCTGAAAAATTTTCTCTAATTGCAATTGTTTTGTTTTCTGGTTACTTCCTAATCCTGAATCGTGCTAATTGTGTGTGTTGTATGTCTCTGGGCTTAATTTATGCCTCGCAACTAAATGTGGGAAGTACAGGTAGTGGTGTCGTGTGGAGATGTAAGCATGCTTGGTATGTCGTTGTCGCCATCTTGTTGACGAAACTTTGTTTTATGGCGCTAGGAGCCAGCGGTAATTTTCGTAATTTACTTGTGCTGTGTGCAGCGTAGTTTTTTTATTCTTCTTTCTTTTTTGGTTGTCTCATCGTAGCTGGTAATCTCTCGGCTTCGGACCTTCGCTTCGCTACTTCACTTTGGTCGTACCTACCTACAAATTGCTTTTAGATTGTCGTTGCGTATAATTACGAAAGCATTTCGTGTTTTGCTGATGGGCGATACAAAAATGTTTTGTATTTGAAGATAACCTTCAAAATGGATGCTCACATAACCTAAACGTTACATAACCTCAATCAATAACTAGTTGTCAACTCAAGTACATAATGCGCTGAAGCATGACCAATAAAATAATAACGCAGCGCTCGCTCATCTTGTTTCGTTGTGTTTTTGTTGCGCATAAATGCTTTTGTTGTTTTATAGCCACGCCGCGTATTAAATCATCAATTGCCAAAAAAAGACACGCTCATTATGGTCGTAAATAAACCAATAATATGTGGCCATTACTAATTGCTTCTTGTCGCTCCTTTTTACCATTCGCATGGTCATTTTTTCCAGGCTTTTAATGCTTTGTTGTGCGCGCGATTCAAATGAGATAATTGAAACTAATAAATATCGAAGGCCATTAAATCGCGCTCGTTTTGTCCTTTTCGTGCTCCGAATCTTTGTGGCGTTAAGACGCGAAGAGACTCTTTGTTTTCCGGCCTCGCTGGCGCACACATAGCTATATCCACAGCAACAACAACGGTGTGTAGTACTGAGAAATAAACTTTTAAAGAGTTTTAAAGCGTCTTTTGCTCGCGAAGAGAGGAGTGGAGTGGTCGAGCCGGTCGGTCATCGGGTGTTTTATTGCGGATGGACGTGTCTTCTTTTTTTCTACTCTGCACGTTCATTGTGATGCTTTTAGCAGACCAACAAAGTCCTACTCAAGGTGAAACACACAAAGGAAACCACGGAAATGTTTATGATTTTTATATCTAGAAATATATTTATTTTATAGCCAAATTTGGACGATTTAAACTAATTTGTACTCCAGGTGGTTTGAATTTTTGAAAATTTATATTTTTACATCTGCTACAGATTTCCGATCGCCCTTTAACAATAGAACCTATGCAACATGCACAAATCACCCTCTTGGCAACAGTTCTATAGATTTTCTCATGCCTGCCGGCCATTATTACCAAAGCTCGCCCATCGCCTACCACCTGCCACTGCGTTCACATAATTCTAAAGTCTAAAAGTCTAAAAAAATCAAAGGTCCAGGTTGAGGTCTGTAACACCAATTAAAACAAAACCATACTCGTAAATTCTGACCAGTCCACAACACCTAAAACAATCATTATCTCTGTAACATTTCGGATTCTGTCCGGCTGCTGTTGTCCGATGTTGACTAAGCACAATTACTCAGTAAATCGTGTCGTGGCATGTCATAAGCGTAACTGCTGCTAAGTGATTTGATCTAATTTGAATTCCTTTTTTCTGACGCACACTCGCATGCTTACCACGAACTAGTTCATAAAAGATTTCTCCAGTCTCGAAACAACGGCGTAATTGTGATTCGATACGTAGTTTCGATGGAAATCATTGTTTGTCATTGAGTCGAATGCAATTTAACGTTCACAACGCACGACAAACAACAACAACGTGTCATACAAGCAAGTGAAACTGTGTTCACTTACCTACTGAACTCACAAAGAAAGTAAAACAGCACACGATTTTAAATTTCGTGTAAAATACGCGTGGTTTTTGCTTTTTTCACACAGAAAAAATGTTTTCTGAGTGTTTGAAGAGATATTTTAACACGAAATGAAATGCGAGTACGATTGTAATGAAATGCCGCCGAACGTGAGCATCATTGTTGTAATGACAACGTTTATCTTCTCTTCGCTCTTCGCATACTTTCGGTTTTCGTCTTGTGTCTTGTATTAGATTCTAGCGGCGGCGAAGCTTTGTGTGTTCAGAAAAAGCGTGCGCTTGCGGGTGATTCTTCTATTCATGCATTCGGCGAAGTTCACGACACATACTCTTGTAGATGTATGGCATGATAGGTCAAAGAGAAAGTCGATTATTAAAAACATATTCGTACAATTCGATTTCGTACGCGTCCGTTGTCGATGACTAACTGTAAAAATAAAAACTTGTGCGTTCATTATCATAAAAATGGGCATAGGCGCCGCACTATCTTGTAATATTAGTTTGTTGTTATTTGAATGATAAAAACAACAATTGCTGGTATAATTAGCGGCGGTTTGTAAGGTTTACCATAAAAGTTACACAAAGGAAACATTTTTCTTTTTTGGTTACCACACACAAAGCATTTTGTTTAGTTATTAATTAATTCCTCGAAGATGTAAGCAGTTACAATGATTATTTTTTCACTAATCAATTCTTTACTAAATTCTTAATCAACTGTATATTTTTTGTCTTGTTTGTAAGTATATATACAGAGTAATCAGTAAAAGAAATCGATTTTTTGATTTTTTTGAAAATTTTTCTTTAGAAATGCATGTTTTTAATATGAGAGCTTTAAATAACACGTTGTTCGGATGATATTCTTGTAGAAACAAGATCGCTGAACCGTGCTGTAACCATCCAACGGTTAATTACACATGTGTACACGCATGTACATCATATAATGCATATGATTGTTATGCTATGAATACGTGCAACGCATACGTTCCGCGTACATGAATTCATTTTTCTTTTCTTTTTTCCTTCCTCCGCGGTCTTTCTTCTAAGCGAACAAAAACGCTTCAACGCCACGGTTCTACATTTCCTTTGCTTCCTTTGCGCCAAGATTTATCGCTCGACATTTACATTTAAAATGTTACATCATGGAAATGAGAATTGCAGTAAACCTTGCGGAATATTGTCGTCCGAAGTTTATTTGATCACTCGACGAATTCGTGATTTAAACATGCCATCGTTAGCGGCCATCTTAAACAGGAAGCGTGCGTTTAGATTGAATTAATCGGCATAATCGTGGCATCGTTGTTAACATTCCTGGAAATTGAAATTTTCTCATCTCAATTGCAGACAATGAACGTGAAACGGCAGTAACGAGAGGTTTTAACTGCCCAGCATCATGACCACCGCGTATTCAACATGGCGGCGATGGACTTCCGACGCTGCGCTAGTGTCTACACTGATTATGGTGGCGCTGGTAGCGCTTCCAGTGAGGGCGTGGCTCCCGGACACCTCTTCGAAAGTAATCAGCGATATTGGACAACTGCCCACGATTAAATTCGTCGGCAATGCTTCATATCCGGATCATTTTATTGTCCTGAATCAGGACGAACAAACAGTGCTACTTGGGGCTAGAAATACCGTTTATAATCTTAGCGTGTATGACTTTTTAGAACGCAAAGAGTCTAGAATAGAATGGCAATCATCTGAAGCACATATGCAATTGTGCATCCTCAAAGGAAAGAGTCCCGAGGAAGATTGCGAGAATTATATACGAATTATGCATCCTACCTCACCGGGGGTGTTTTTAATTTGTGGGACCAATTCATTCAAGCCACAATGTAGATATTACTCAAGAAATGTAAGTCAAAGTATTCAAAAATTTATCTGATGTTATTTTATTTTGTTTTTGTTTTTTTTTTTTCGTTAGAACGGAAAATACTCGATAGAAAGAGAATTTGAAGGCATCGGGGTGTGTCCCTATGACCCATACCACAACAGTACGGCCGTTTATAGCAACGGGCAATTATACTCGGCGACAGTGGCGGACTTTTCCGGCGGAGATCCGCTCATTTACAGAGAACCGCAGCGCACGGAACTTTCCGATCTCAAACAGTTGAATGCTCCCAACTTTGTTAGTTCAGTGCCGTATGGCGATTACATCTTCTTTTTCTACCGGGAGACCGCTGTGGAGTACATCAACTGCGGTAAAGTGATTTACTCACGCGTTGCGAGAGTCTGCAAAGAAGACAAAGGTGGACCGCACCAATTTCGTGACAGGTGGACATCATTCCTCAAAACCCGACTCAATTGTTCAGTACCTGGAGAATATCCGTTTTATTTCGATGAAATTCGTAAGTTTTTAAAATGGCGGTGATTTTTTGTACTGTTTTTATGTGACTTTGTGTGTGTATTAATTACAGAATCAACAAGTGATGTCGTTGAAGGTAAATACGGTAGTAATCTTACGAATCACGTCATTTACGGTACGTTAACAACGCCGAGCAATGCGATTGGTGGGTCGGCCATTTGCGTGTATAACATGCGCGATGTAATCGCCGCGTTCGAGGGCAACTTCAAGCAGCAGGAAGGGATCAATTCGAATTGGCTTCCTGTTTCTAAGGAGAAAGTACGTCGCATGATACATGTCTCTTTATTGAGGACAATTTATTAAACAATGCTTTTTGTGTAGATTCCCAACCCGCGGCCGGGACAATGCGTGCCTGACAGTCGAATTCTTCCCGAGAACAATGTGAATTTCGTCAAGACACATTCGTTGATGGAGAATTCCGTGCCCGCCATGTTTGGTAAACCGATTCTTATCCGTGTCAGTTTGCAGTATCGTTTCACCGCCATTGCTGTCGACGCTCAGGTGGCCACAGTGGATGATGGCTTGTTTGACGTCATCTATGTAGGCACTGATAACGGCAAAGTGTTAAAGTTGGTAAATGTAGCGTTGAATAATGAAACGGCCAGAGCAATTGTAATATCGGAGAATGTCATCCTCCCGAATGGATTGCCTATTACTCAACTTAAGATAGCTCCAGGTCACGGGAAGGTTATTGTGGTAGGAAGGGACGAGGTACGACTAGCGGAAATATTGCATTGTAACTCAATGAAGTCCTGTGGGGCCTGCGTGCAATTACAAGATCCTCATTGTGCGTGGAACACGAAAAAACTCAGTTGTGTTAGTTTAGACAAGACTAGGACACTCAAACGTGCTTTAATTCAGGATATCTACAAAGGAGATGAATCGAAATGTAGAACTGCTGGGGTTCCATCTACTGCACCAGGTAATTCACGTTTTTAGTATTTTGACATAAATATTAACAATGTTTGTATGGTTTCAGACAGCGAAGAGAAGAAAAATCCGAAAATCATCACGAATGACATAGATAAGGAGATAGAATCGACAATACAAGAGACAAAACAGATTGATCCTCTTTTAGCAGTGAATGACTTGAACGATTGCGAGAATGAAGTTGACGGACACATTAACTGTGCTGTAAAACAACGTCTGGTGATCTACACGGCGGAAACTCTTCAAATGTGGGTCCTGGGCGCCGCCATTTTGTGTCTACTCATGGGTTTCATATCCGGTTATGTATTTTCACGAAAATTTCATCCACAGCAAGATTTTACGGCGCCATTTATCGAACAGCACAATCAATTAGAAGGGTAAGTTTGTAAAAAATTTATTTTTTAGTTAAAAGTGATGTTAATGTGTGATTTAATTCGTTTCAGAAGAAATCCGACGAATTTTTTAGCGCCGCGTCCGAATAAGTCGGTTAATTTGAACGTTCACGTGAATATCCCGCCGCCTCCAAAGAAAGACAACCTGGAGACGAGCAAGGATCTGAATATTGCCAGCGATGGTACGCTGCAGAAGAAGATTAAGAAGACGTATATCTAAATCGTGTGTGTTCAAATCAAACTAAACCGAACTTTAAGCGGACTAAAAAACAAAAGTGCTATTATTTGACAATTGACAATATTATTCAGAAGAATCTTCAAAGAAGTTTATATCTATGTAAAATGTGTAAATAGTCTAAAGTTTAATCGTACGTGAGGAGAGAATCAGCAAGAAATTATTTTGTTATCATTTTAAATCATTTATGCGAAGCGAAGTGTTTTTTTGTAGCTCAATTTAAGACGCCTGGCATAGAGTTGTATTTATGCGCGCATCATCTATCTTTTTTGAATACTTCCATTGTGATACTATTCTACTTCTAATTCAAATTACGCGGTGTGCGCTCAAATTGAACGCACATCTCACATCGCTCTCTGTAAATAGTTAAATGCGTGAAGAAAGGAAAGTCAAAGACCATAAAATTGAAATACATATCTGCATTGGCTGTGATCGGAAAAGTATTTTTGTTTGTTAAATTAGAACGTGCAGTCAATACAGATTCAATTTCGCGATAGGATAGGATATTTTTACAGTACTGAATACTTTGTACAAATATATTGATAGTTAATTAGTAATAAACATTCCATTTCTATATTTTATAAAATTAAATGTACATCATAACGAGATGGCAATATGTGTATTATATATTTTAGTAATTGTCGAAGTAAAGAAATAAAGATATTTACAATAAAATGTAGTGTGTGACCCTGATAATGTAATATTTTTAAATAATCATTGATGTTTAAAGGTATTGCTTTCTTCAACTGGATGTATATTTGGTTGCCTATCCCAAATCATTAAAAGAACTTCTAAAAATAAATTTTTTAAATTAAACCTCGTGCATCGAATATTTTACATGTGTTATTGCACAAAACCTGTTGAAACTGTCACCAAATACACGCAGTTAACGCCTTCGGCTAGCAATGACCTATTTTTTTTATTAAACAAACGCGCAAAAGAAGTAAAAGTAAAATTTAAGACAAAAATCATTGATTTTTGGAAACCGGTTTACCAGATTAAACATTTACCAAATCGTGAAGTTTGACACAAATGCATATTATATTCTATATAATTTAGTTGATAAACTTGCATTATCTGTTGTGTGCAATTAAATAAATTATGTAAACTTGAGGGCGATACGCTCGGATCGTTCAAATCGTTTACATCGTTTAAATGCGCATGGAAAAATTCAGCCAAAATTGATAATGAATGAATATGTGATAATGACGGTTATAACATTTGCTTTCACTGCACTACTGGAAAACTTTAAAATCTTGCGTGCTTTGTAATCAATTGATTAGAAATGAAGTGGAATGTGTGTACTAATATGGTATGTGTAAGTACGTGGAGTCTTTTTTTATCAGTTAGTATCACGTGTAAGTTCAGAATCTGCGTTTTTACCACGTCGCGCATTTTGGTGGCGTGCGGCGCGACTGTTTTGTCGCACCTTGTTATGGCAATACTGAAATAACTAAAAATAAAAACGATACGCACTCAAAGGCTACAACAGTAGCGGTTACATCAGAAAAGTATTCGTATTCGTGTTGACATATGTGTGAGTGAAATATTTATGTACAGTCGCTTTACTAAAGTGTAGTTTAAGTTTATTGAAGTCACTTTGACTTTCAATGCGCAAAATCAAATATCTCATATAATAAAAATGATGTCGTTGTAATATTGTAATCATAATATGGCTCATAACTGTGTCCATATATAAATAATTATTTTCCAGATGAATTGCGGTTCGCCACGGTTTGAATTGTAAAGTGATAACAAACTCTCGTGCAATCGACTCTGCCATTGAACATTTGCTCGTGCGCAGATCTTTTTTGTGCGCGCATGCGCAGTGCAAGGTGCTCGGGACCTTCCAGCGCAGCTCCATCGTGTTGTTGCACGCGAGGCGCGCAGCGCAACGTGAGAGAAAAAACGCCGCATTTCGCGCTGTTTGCAATCAACGCAATGCGTGCACCGCATCGGGAATAAGTGCCCTTAGTCGCTCGCCCACATAGCGCCCTGTAACGCGCGCCCGCGCGCACCCTGTTCGCGTGCTTTGCTCTATCGTCGTCGACATCGCGCTCGCGAACACGTGCTGAATCATAGGCTAGGAACAGCCGCCAAGGAACCACTCGAAGATTCACGTCCCCCAACCCGGAAATCCACCTACGTCGACAACAACAAACTTTGTTTTTGTCTTCGATCTTCAACTGATCAACATCGTTGACAACGTTGGACGCAGCTGATACTTCGGAGATACTTGTCGCACCATGCGGTTTTGAGTCAACATGGTGGGTACCCATATTGTACGCTCCTCACTCGCCTAGCTATCCGTATCCGCAGTCACACGCTCGAATCGTCGCACCGCCTCATCATACTCATGTCGACCGGCCGGGTGCATTCTGCTGCTCCCAGCAACACCAATCATGCTTCTTCATCCTATGCTGATGCTCTGCTCAATTTCAAGCAGCAGGCGGCGGCGAGTGCAATGGACAGTAACAAGGAGAACGTGAGCGCTGCTAACATGGACAATACGCCTGTGCCTGTCCAGACCAGCAACGATAAACAAAACAAGCAGGAGGAGCCGTCAGTGCAGCCTGTCGAGGCGCAACAAGATGATGAATTCACGCCGGTTGTTAGCCACCACCGGAAGGAGCGCAAGGATAAGCGTAAACAACGTGAACGAGCTAGAAACGATAGGCACACGCGCCAAAACAAGGAGTCTTCTAAGGAGGCTAGGGAGAGAGATGTTAAGAAGGAAGTAGAGGTGAAAGAAAATGATCCTGCTGGTAAATCTGACAGGGATAGTGATGAAGGTGGGTCAGCCAAGAAAGTTTTCGTGGCTGCACCACTACCTGTGGTGAATCCCTGGCAGAAAAAGCAGAGGGGTGAAGAGAAAAGGGTGCTGCAGGCTAAACCTGAACCTACTCCTGTGAGTCAGGTGCAAGTGCAAGCACCACAACCTGTACCTGCTCCTAAGGCAGCTCCAGTACCTGTTGTGCAGACATTTAGAGATAAAACAAAATCAAACAAGGTAAAAATAACAATTTTTTCAATGAATATTTTGATAAATATGTCAATTTATTTCACAGGCACCAGTTTTAAATGATGTCAAAGACTGGCCTTCTCTTGGTGTGGCTCCAGCAGGAGATGTGAGTAATTTTCTGCCTTAAAATTTAATAAACCTATTGAAATATGCTTGTTTACAGCGTAAAAACAGCGCAACGACAACAACGCCAGCGATCCCACTGCAATCCAGTTCCAAATCGGAAATCCGCAACAATAAAGCAAAGTGGCTGCCGTTGGAGATTGAAGTCTCGAACAATAACAAAGGTAATCGACGCGGTGCTCGTAATAACATTGCGACCACCGCAACTGATGCGCAATCGACCGTGAGCGAAAACGATCGCGATTGGCGTCATGAAGCGCGCGAATCGAACCGTCCGGCGCGACCAGCCTCCGCTGCGCCGCGGGGACGTTCGCGTGGTATGCGTGGCACTCGCCGCGCGAATTACACGCGCAGCGCTGTTGACTACACGGACGCGCCGGAGTTCACCATGGATGGTGCGGGTTACAACGCGCTCGAAAGTGGCGCGTCACGAGCGCCTTACATGGGCACGTTTTACTATGACGCGCACAGTTACGTCAAGCTGGACAAGCCCACCATCAAGGAGTACATCCGCAAACAGGTGGAGTACTATTTCAGCGAGGATAATCTGATGCGCGACTTTTTCTTAAGGCGCAAGATGTGCAAGGAAGGATTCCTGCCGGTGACTCTGATTGCGTCCTTTCATCGCATTCAGTCGATTACCAGTGATTTGCCGCTGATTATTGGCGCCATCAGTGCTTCCGATAAGCTGGAGTTATCGGCTGGCTTCAAGGTGAGCGCGCTCGTTAACATGCCGAAATGTCACATATGTTACTATTGTTTTTGTGTGTGTGTTGTTTAGGTGCGCACGCGTAAAGATCCAGAGAAGTGGCCACTTGGGGGTGGTACCGATGGAGAGGATGAAACAAATCCAATGGCTTTTATTCACAAGATGATTCCACCACCGCCTGTGTTACGCAAGATGAAGGAACCAGCGGATCCGAACTTGAACCCGGATGTCGCCGAATTCATTCCGGAAATCATCGAGGAGCAACAACAGCAACAGACTGTTGGTATGTGAAGAAATTTCGATTCGAAAATAAACCGTTTTGTTTACAACTTGTTTTAATGTGTTAAGAATTGCACAACAATCGTAATGTTGATGACTGGCGTGAGGTGAAACGAAAAAGCAAAGAACCCAGCAAGAAAAAGGAAGCGCCAAAGAAGGAAGACCCGAAATACGAACGCGAAGAACTCGATTTTCACTTCGATGAAGAACTCGACCAAGAAGTGCCGCCCGGCCGTCAGAACCTCTTCACCACCGATTGGACCGAAGAGGATTCCGATGAATTGAGCGATCGTGATGTTAATAAACTGCTCATTGTTACTCAGACGCCCTCCCGTCCTCCTAAACACGAAGGTTACGATCGAACCGGTGATTGGACGACGAGAGTGAAAATGACTCAAGAACTCGAGCAGGCTATTAACGACGGACTTTTCTACTACGAGGAAGATCTTTGGGTGGACGTCGATGACAGATCATCGCAGGGCAGCTATCGTACTGTGAACGTCATCAGTCAGGAAGATTTCAAAAAGATCGCGCCACAAGCACCTAAGAAACAAAACCCACAAGTGCCACCGCCCCCGCCTCCGGTTGTTCAGCAAGTTTACGAAGACGCCAAGCCGCTGTCGCGTCGCCAGCGGAAGACTCAACGCAATGTTCCTAGATTCTACGCGGTCGTCAAAGATGACCAGCCGGATCCGTGCACGCCGAGGAAACGAAAGACTCGGCACTCGTTCAATCCGCCTGTGGAGCATCACGTCGGCTGGATTTTCGATGTTAAGGAGCATAGAATGCGCACCACATCCGGAAGCAGTTATGGTACTAGTCCAAACGAACATAATCTCGGTACGTCGTACGGCAGCGTGCCGCAATCACTGCCCGCGTTCCAGCATCCATCGCATGCGCTGCTCAAGGATAATAACTTCACGCAACAGGCCTATCACAAGTACCGCCATCGCTGTCTCAAGGAGCGCAAACGCTGGGGCAGTGGACTCTCATCGGAAATGAACACGTTGTTCCGTTTCTGGTCGTTCTTCCTGCGCGAGAATTTCAATCGTTCCATGTACAGCGAGTTTAAAACCATCGCGTTAGAGGACGCTGCATGCGGCTATCGCTATGGGCTTGAGTGCCTCTTCCGGTTTTATTCGTACGGGTTGGAGACCAAGTTCCGGCCGCAGTTGTACGAAGACTTTCAAGACGAAACCATGCGTGACTACGAAAGTGGTCAGCTGTACGGACTTGAAAAGTTCTGGGCTTTCATGAAATACTATAAACACGCTAGTAATCTGCAGGTTAATTCGAAACTAGCTGGTTATCTCAGCAAATATAAACGCATTGAAGACTTCCGGGTTGTTGAGGTTAGTAAAATGTTTAGAATGTGTTGAAGAGTATCTTAAATTATTATATTTTTAGCCCCAAATCGAAGAGATTCTGAAAAGTGGTCGCCCGCAATATCAGTCGAAGAAACGCAATCGCAGCGCTTCGGAGAGTTGTTCGGTTGATAATCGTCATCATACGCTTTCCGCGAGTAAAAATGACGAGAAAACCGCACGAAGAAATTCCGGCTCAGGAAATCGACCAAGGTAATTGTGTTTGTCTTTTTTTTCTTAGTTTTAAATGTTTTTTTCTTAGATTTGAATGTTTTTTTCTTAGTTTTGAATGTTTTTTTCTTCTTAGTTTTGAATGTTTTTGTTTTGTTTAGGGACTATCCGCAACCAGGTACTAGCGCGCCAGCAGGCACCGGAGCACGCTTCATGTCCAGAAATCGCGCACAATCGTTTGGCTCAGGTCGCACTAGCGGCAAACAGTTTGCGCCGAGTGGACGTGCGCGAACGGACTCCTGGCGAGTACCCGCTGACGACCAACCACCGAAAGAGCAGAAGGACGCATCACAGACAGTCGCGTAAGTTGCGGTCGAGTCTATTCACACAGTGCCCAGCCCAGCCACAACAATTGTGCAGTGCCATTGAATGTTTGAAGTCGCGCACGGCCGGAAAATCACATATTTTTCTAGACAATCTGTGAGTAAACACCATTGCGCGCGGCGGGGGAATTTTTACACACCCACACTCTTTAATCTAACTCTTAATCGTCGATTGCGTTAGTCTAGTAAACATTTATACTTAAGGTTTTGCTAGGACGTTCAGCGCTAACAAAAAAAAGTAAAAAAATAATTGAAAAAAGTAAGTAAATAAGGTGCAAATTTTCTACTACTTTTAAGCGACACGTTTTGTTCGAGTTTACTTTATTTTCGGGGATTTTTCACACGCACATCGTATGTATTCTATTCATTATTTTCTAATTATCGATAATTTTACTTGATTTACATGTCCCTAGAATTTAGTCGTTTAGACGTAAGGATTTAATTGATAAGTGCCAAAACGGAAAACAAAACAAACACAAAAAAAAACCATGCTTGACAAAAGAATTTTTGGAGAAAGTGACATTAAACAAGTAAAATAGTGCGTAATAAGAAAATATTTGACTCGCGGTTGCTTCTTTTCGTTTGTTCTGATTGATTTGTACCGTTTGCAATATCAACCAACTAACTGAAATGACTAATTAAACAAAACAATGTACATATACATATTCACAGATGGCGAATCGTGTGAATGTGTGTTTTGGGTTCGTGTGTACTCTTGCATTTACTTTAAACACAAATAATTGTTATTCTTACATATATTCTAGTTAATTGTTTTAGTTTTTCTTTTGTTTCTATGCAAGAAGTTTTATTTCTGCATAAGTTTGTAGCTTAGTGTATAGTATTCGATATTTGGGGCTATGTTTAAACTCGGATTATAAGCGGATGAAAAAGCTAGAAAAATTGTAAAAAAAAGTTTTGGTTTTACTACCATATACGATATCACATTTTTTGGGAAAGACTAAAAAAAAAGCGTTTTGCAGAATCACTGTTTATTTTACTATTTACTAATAGATTGTAACCATAATAAAACAGAAAATACACCCAATATGCACACGGTGGCGCGAGAATTTATATACATACGGAAATGATGTACATTATTCACTGTAAATATTTTTTTCTTTGTTATGTCAATGTGTTACATTTTTTTGTATTACATTTGTTTGGATATAGATTATTCGCGTCACCCTTGTAGTGTAACTGCGTATGGCGCATGCGCATAAAACAACCCCTGTGTTATCCTGTCATTACTCACCCTTAGGGTGCATTGACAGAAGATGTCTGAATGTAAAAAGTTGAAACGCGAGTTGGAAGCAAATCAGAACAATTTGGAGGAAGCTAATGCTATTCAAGAACAACTGGAAGGTGTCTCTAAGGAGATGACCAAGAAGATTTTGGGTATCATTGAGGAGTTTTCCACCCAAAAGAAGCCGCTTTATGATAAGCGACATGCTGTCCTGCTGTCTATACCACATTTTTGGGCAACTGCTGTAAATATTCAATTAGTTTCATAAAGTTTTTTTTGTAAATTGTAACTTTTACAGCTTTCAAATCATCCGAAACTAAAATTGTTGCTGAACAATTCCATAGAAGATTGTTTCCATTACTTGCAGTACGTACAAGTTGTCGAAGTCGATGTGAAAAGCGGTTTCCAGATTATTTTCGGATTTGATACTAATCCATATTTTTACAACAATAAACTAATCAAGAATTACGAATGCCAGAATGAAGAGTACACAATGAAGAAAACTGTCGTTGACTGGAAGGAAAACATGAATTTGTGTAATGAGAACAACGAGAAACAGGGACGAAAACGCGGTGCACCGCTGGAGAACTTCTTTGACTGGTTAGTGCGGTCGTCTAGCAACGATGTAATTTGTGATATTATCAAAGACGACCTGTGGGTGGATCCGTTGAGATATTTTTTCATGTCTGATGATGCAAACGAAGAATCGGAGAGCGATAGCGTTGAAGATGATGATTGTGATGATTTTCTTGATGTTAAAGAGGATTACAGTGATAATGAATCAAATTTATCTGAAAATTAAGTTGAATATATCTATGTACAGCAAATTATGTTCAAATTTGTATGTATGTATCTAGCAGGAATTTAATGCAGGCAACCACATATGCATCAAAGCATCAGTTGACCTGCTCGTCTGATAGCCGTTTAGTGTTCGCTCACTCGGTCACCAATGTGCACGTACAAACATTTCGCGACTTTGTCGAAATTCATCACGCTCAGGTTCTCATGAAAAAGATGCCAGTTAGCCGCCTGGACGTGCTGTACCGTCGCATTCTGCTCTCGAAGTTCTTCACCAAAGGTTGGGGCGACCCTGAGCACGTCCTGCGGTAGGTAGAATTTTGTTTTGTTTGATTTTTAATTTGACCCTTTAAGGTTACACGAAATTATCGCGTAAACAATCGTCATCATCCATGTACGTGTTCTTTCAGCCTGCTGCAATTTCGCAAAATCATCTCAAAGCGTGAGCTCTGCTACAATCTCGTGGACGCGAATCATCCCGTTGAAATTTTGAAGGTATGCTACCTCAAAAACAGATGTTACTGTGGAAATTTCCAATGAGGGTGTCATATTTTAGGAAGAGAAGTATTCTGATTGTCACGTCAAAGATATAAAATTTTTCAGTCCGCTGGCGATACATTTGCCAGAAGTCGTCCATCCGGAAATACAAGATGCACATTGTCAAATTGTCATACCCAACAAATGGAAGCCTGGACCATACAGACCTATTTGCATCCATCTGGCAGGCACAGGTGATCATGTATGTAGTTTATTTCTCAAATACTTTAGAATTCTGAACACTATGTATGTGTATATGTAGTATTATTGGAAGAGGAGACATTTAATGGTGAAACCATTGCTCAAGGAAGGAATTGCTTCAATTATTTTGGAAAATCCATTTTATGGCTCAAGAAAACCCAAGGACCAACTAAGGTCATGTCTGATGAATGTCTCAGATATTTTTGTCATGGGTGGGTGTTTAATCCTGGAGTGTATTGCTCTTTTACACTGGTGTGAGCGTAACGGGTTTGGTCCGATGGGAATTACAGGTTTATCAATGGGAGGACATGTAAGAATTTTTCTTAATTTCAAAAACAACTTAAAATATTTACATTTATTGCATTTTTAACATTAGATGGCTTCACTTGCTGCAACAAACTGGCCAAAACCTCTCGTATTAGTACCATGTTTATCATGGTCAACCGCATCAGCAGTTTTCACTGAAGGCGTAATGAGTGAAGCAATCGATTGGGACTTCCTCCAATCGCAGTACTTTTCCGACAAACAATATCATCAGATCATTGCGAAACTCTGTAAGATCGTGGATGATCCCACCGAGTTTGGTCTTGCGAAACTCCCTGGTTTTCCTATCCCTGACAAAGAAAAATGCGAAAATCGAGCGCTCACTCCAATGGAAATTATTGAGCTGCTTGAGTTGAGTGCAAGCGAAAAATCTAGTCAAGATCTCCTCGTACCCGAAGCCACCTCCAAGCCTATATACCGTTTCATAAAATCCCTCATGCGATTGTCAACACCGAGGACAAATGCGAAAGACGTCACGCAGACGAAGATACGCGACAAGGACGCTATCTGGTTCATGCGCGGGTTAATGGACGAGTGCACACATTTGAAAAACTTTGCAACGCCGGTTGACACATCGTTGATTATTGCATTGTGTGCTAAGTCAGACGCATACATCCCTCGGGATGGTTGCACACGCTTGGAGGATATATGGCCTGGGGCGACTATCAGATATCTGGACACTGGTCACGTGGGGGCATATATAAAGTACCTGAATTTATTTAGGTACGTATCGTCATGATTTAAATAAAACATTAAAATGTTTATATTACGGTTTTGTATGTTTAGACAATCGATCTTGGAGGCTTTCGCAAAGGCGCAGAATGTTTGCCAGCCGCCGGCACATCCGCATACGACACAATGACGACACGCACCACATTAGGTATCAATTATTCCTATGCGGGTGGCCTTAACTGGATGTGATAATATTCTTAGGTGACGAAAAGCGCGCGTGCATCAAGTAGTAGAAAACATAAAATTTTATATTATACCGTTTTTCTGTTTGGTTTTTTAATTCGTTGTTAACATTTATTACTTTACATTAAGTCAACAAATTAAGTTGTTCACGTGTGGTGTGTTCAAAATGGTCGTGTGTACAGATTGTCATATTAACAGTTTGAAAGCATAGAGTTAATGCTGTACAAAACAATCATCATGTGAGTGTGGAAACCTAGTAAATATTATTAGACTTAAAATAGCCGCACTTAGCACAATCAGTGATATGTATATTAACAAATGTGCCAAGAAAACAGTTCCGCAATCGTCGGTTGGTGTTACAAGTCTACTCTTCGCCTTGTGGTAAACAAGATAAGCCATATCGTTGCTAAAGCTAAAAAAAATGAGACTAGACGATGACGCTACGTCGTGTTGTCTTGCCATCAGGCGCGTATTGTTCCAGGTCCTCTGGCTGTGCGTTCAGCGCCGAGTAGTCGACGGGAAAGAGCGCGGATGCCATTGGGAGTGGCGGCGCGCCGAATATGAACTGGCCCGGGCCGTTCGGATAGCGGCCCAGCAAATAATTCGAGAAGCAGAGGCGATAAGCTTTGAACGTGAGCGCATGGTCGCCATTCTGCAATAGATATACATGTAGATATATTTTATTACCTAAATAAGTCGTTAAACTCAAGGCTGGTTTTATAAATAATTTCATTGCATAATTTAACGACTCAACAACATAATACTTACGGATGTCATCGCCTGGTAGGAGACGTCGAGGATTTCGCCTACTTTGGTTGTGTCAAGACAAAGCACCGAAGAATAAAACGCGCTCAATTCGTCGCGTGTGATTATACCGCTGCCGCTGCGGTTTATTACTTGAAAGAGCACCTTGACGAAGTATTGCAGCCAGACTGGGAAGTCCGATAAATTCTTGCTGCCGGAGATCATCTGGGCCCATTTGAACAACCAGCCTTCAATGGTCAGGTATGGTTGTTTATTTACTTGAAATCCTGTAGAAATATAAACGAAAATGCGTTATGATGTTAACGATCAAAGTATAAATGTGTTACCAAGTTTTTCATCATCAAAGCCGGTTAGGAACGACGCGATAAACCCACGTTCGATTTCGCGCAGGATGTTGTACTCGGGGGAGTATGTGTCCCAATCAGCAAAGTGTCTTAAACGCTTTTTAAAAATATTAAAAATGTAATATTAGTGTAGTTATTAGTCGATATTTACCTCGACTAAAGTCTCAATGTCCTGTTCGCTGATGAGTTCGTCCTGATCGTGATCGAGTAAAGTTCGAAAGAAGTGTGAAAATTTATTCGTCTGAATCGGCGTAAGTTGATAGTGGCCTTCGTTCACGCCGGTCTCCATGTCGATGCTGAAGCGGTCGACCCAAGTGGCTGGAAAGCGCAAGCGGCCGCAATTAATAAAGTCGCGCTCCGCATCCCCCACGATGGGTCAATTAGAGTGCGAGTGCGTAATTCACGCGATCCGTGCGCACACAAGTTATCGCATCAAATACTAATGATACAAATAAATAAACATCGCGCGGCAATAAAATATTGGCATTAAATTTTCGCGAGGTCAAGATCGAGCGAACAAACAAAACAAAAAAACACACGTCGTAAATGTAAATTACCTTTTCAACTAAAACTAAGAGTCAAATACATTCGCACACCAAACCAATGCAATCAGAAACTTAAACAACTAATACTAGTAGTGCACTGTGTGCAGTCGGATGACTGTCTGTGATGTTTTTTGTTTTGATATCCTTACTCCAGACGTGCACACTCCAGCCGCTTTCGCGCTGAAGACTTTCTGTCTTTTGTCCCACACTGCCGCCAGCGGTGGGCGAACTGGCGGATGGATCAAATTCGGGTAGTGTCCTCCATCTTTTGAGTAAGTCTCGGGTCCTATCCCGGGTGCGATCGCATGCATGTCTCCAATTGGCAATGATCTTGTTTGGCACCTTGTGGTGCCCGTCTCCTGTACTGCCAGTGCTGCCAATTGAATCCGCGTCGCGTTCGAAACCAATTTTTTTCTCGTCTTTTATTTTCACGTTGAGTTTATTGGTGCCTACTTTGAGGCTGTTCCTTGATGTGTCCACATCCTTGTGGCTGCTTTCTCTACTACTAACTCTAGACATCTCTTCTAGTTCACCATCCATAGTTACAATAGTTAAGCAATCAAATCAACAAGTCAAGTAATTACAAGTCTAACTACCACAAATTGAACAAATGTGCATGCATATTAGTTGGGAGCAGAGTATCAATGCAAAACTCCATTATTGTTGGTTTAGTCTACCTCCATCCTGATGTACTTTCAATTGCATTATTGATTGCTTCTGATGTTTTTCTATTTGTTATAGGCACTTTGATGTTATTGCACTTTGTCCTGAAATTATATTTCGGTTTAAAAGATTGAAATATTGTTGAGTTATTTTAAAGATTAGATAACTTACAGTTTGCTTTCAGTTGCAGGTTATTTCCTAGTCAGTAATGAGCTTGCGGTACCGTTCGGGGGTTGATATCAATTGGTAAAGCGGAATTAAAACTTGATTGTAAAGGAAGGCAGATTGGTCGCAGGTAAACGTGAACACTTTATATTTTTGCAGATCAGATTATTGCTTGTGTATGTATTGCCGAATTTGTCCTCACTCAAAGTGCGCAAAGCCCGAAGCTTTTTCTATGGCGGTTGGCGGCCCTGGCGCCAAATGGGTCAACGCTTCATGCGAACGTGCGTTTCGGTAACTAACTTCGTCCAATGCTTCGTACCTTTCTCTCCCACGCTTTGCGGGGGAGCTTTTACCGAGCTTTTCATGTAAAGGTGACTTCACACAAATCACATTATGTGTGCCAGGTTTAACTCATTCTCGGTGTACATTGGTTGCACACTCTAGACAATTTGCCTTATTGATTTAGGTGCTGTGTTAGATTAAAAGGCTTTGAATACGAATATGATTGAAACTACGGTGGTATTGTGCCCTACTTTTATTTTACTAGAAGTTTAACATAATGCATTTAGTTTTTAGCTTACGCAGATTAAAGCTCAAAACGTGCTGTTTTGCTAAAATAAGCATTTTCAAGCATTTTAGATCGTTGAAATCGTTCAAATAGAAGCAATATTAATAAAAAACGAATAATAAAAAATTCGTCGTTTTTATGCTGTTTTACGCGTTAAAACGCAGATTAAAGCTCAAAACGTGCTGTATATAGTTGCATACGATCGTAGCGTGCTCTCGAGCCGAGAGTATCGGCGCACGTCGGATGCACGCGTGACTTTAGTTGAGTGCAGTTGATTTTAGTGTGTTGTTGTTGCCGTTTGTCGGTTTGTCGCATTGCAATTGTGAATCGCGTGTGCTGGTGATATACGAATATTGTGTTTTTCCAATGGTTATTCTGGCGCGGACTGTTCCCGAAGCGTTCCTTAGAAGATGTGTGGTAGGTGTTGCAATTGAAATCTAATGTAATTATTATCATTTATCGCTAAACATGATCTTTCACACAAGAGTTTTTTTATCGGCATTGCAAGTGAACTAACTATTGCTCTTATTTTTGTTTTAGCACTTGCCTTTGGTGTGCGGTGACCAATACGCTGGTAAGTTTATAATTTAGATTATTTTCATCGCTTGAATATTCGAATAGAATTCGCATAATAGACTTGTTCTCTTTTGCTATGTATATACCGATGTTTGTGTATAAACAAGTTTGTTATCGCGTTCGATCGAATTTCGGGTACGAATTTGATATTTATTCCAAAGATGTATCGAACGATGACGAAAATGTTATGGTAATGTAATATTTTTAATACCTTTACTTATTATTTAGGTTCTTGCTTAGACAACGCGATATAGGGAAATGCAGAATTAAATTCTTCACCAGGCTGTATTATTAATTTGGTTCGGGAGAAATGCCATCAACGCGAATAAACTCGAATATACATGGAATCGCCGGTTTTTGCATACTCTTGTTAATTTGTTGCGTTTGTCGATTTTGCGGGAGAACGGGGCCTTATACAAACTTGATTGCGGTGTCAAGAGATGCAGAATATTATTCTAATGTGCGGTGTAGTTAGGAAAAATGTCTACAACGCGGGTTATTGCGAAAAAAACCTTGCATTCCTCTCTGCGCTCTTGCGTTAATTTGTAGCGTTTTTTTGCTATTGCTGGGAAACGGGGCCTTACATTACATAAACTTGATCGCGGGTTGAAGGAGATATTCCTGAAACGTGAGTAATTGCAACAAAATATTGCTTTGTCTAGTTTTTGCGTCCTTGCGTAATTTTATTTCGTTTTTTTCATTATTGCGGGCGGACAGGGCCTTACACAAACTTGAGCGCGATTTTTACAGATGCAGATTTAACAACTAACAAATATAGCCTAATAGAGAAATTATTATTAATAATAATTATTAATTTGTTGATTTTGTTTTAAATTGATACTGCTGATTGGGGGCGTTTAGCGTGGCGTTTAGAGATGCGGAATTAAATTCTCAATAGATTCAATAAGGCATATTCCTCATCATCTCATCTTAATAACATTTAAATAGCACTTAAATTTTTAATGTAAAAAACGGATAATCTTTCATCATAAGAATTTAAAATTACACAAATTGAATTTTAATTTATCATTATTTAATACTTAATTAAAATTATGGGCCTAGTGCGTGTATCAATTATAGATAGCCTTAGCATGTACTAAAAATCATTAAAATAGACTTGTTTTGTTTATTTAGATATTTATCAGCAAACGTGAGCATTCGACACGACACAAGATTGCCGTGTGTTGTCGTTGCCATCCTTTCACGCCTCGCTCTGCTTTTTTAGTTTAGATTAGTTTAGTTCGCATGTATCGGGACTATTGTAATTTGTGCGCAAGGCTGCGGGCAGTCGTCACGGGCCATCCTTGCGCCGACTTTGCGCGTTCGGGCAGCAGATAGTCTTATCATGAACTGTCGCGAGCGTGATTGCTTCGCTGAGGTACATCATGCACTATTTTAATACTTTGTCGTATCGAGAATTAATTTTCAGTAGATTAATAAGTTTCAATCCGTTCCTCTCTGCCGTTTTTAGATATTAAAATAAGAGAAAATGAAAATGTCTATTTTTTAGCACTTTTAAACACGGTTTCGGGACGTGGTGGGTTTGCAAAGAATTGCTGAGTACACCACACAGTGAATGAGTGGCAATATTTTATTTATCAAAATTTTTTAAATATTTAAGGATAGTTGCGACAATAATTCCTAAGAATATTATATAAATTAAATATTTATTTAAATAAACATTCAATTTCATTTATTTGTCTGTTTTCAGGCGTTCAATCACACTGATACTACCCGATCGTCTTATGCGCACTGCGGGCTGCGGGGTGAGACGTCGGAAGTCGCGCAGGAAAGAAATAACAACTCACACTATCTCTGAACATTCCAAGTAATCTTCGAATGCAATCATGTCATGCAATATGCGATCTTAAAGTAATATAGAATACGTGCGTTGTTTGCATGTTTTTGTCTTCGGGTTTATCAACATCACCTCAACGTCAAACTTTCCGCAACGTACGCTCAGCAGCATCATTCAGTGCGCGACATTGTCAGCAGTTACAGCTCCGCTAATAAAATTGCCAATAATTTATTAAATCAGTAAACATTCCTCGAGGCACTCACAAGTAAGTTTCTTGCATTATTTTCATTTGCGCCTTTTTATTAAATCTGCATTGATTTATGCGGCGTTAGACGCGTTTTTGCAATATGGCCGCAATTCAAACGTCGTTTTCACGTTCGCAACCACCAAGTTGCATCATCCCTAGAATGTAGTTTAATAGTGCAGTCGAAATGAGGAATGCGGTGACCGCAGTTTCAGTTGTTTGTCTGCTTTTCACATGTTTCAAACGTTCACTTTGCGGCAGTAGAGTGCCAATTTTACAGCACTGCTAACACAAAGAGAGGCCATGTTGTTGTTTTGATTTTAACATTCCAACACAATTCGGCACTGCTGATAACGCACTCTTATTTTTATTTTCAAGCGTTGCATTTATCATTTAATTATTCTTTAGTATTTGTTACATTTTAATTCTGTTTTATTTTCTGTTTCTTGTGTGCGACTTCTTGAAACCGTTCCTGTTTCCCATCGCAGGCATGTATATTAAAAAATAACTGTTTTTTCTATTATTTCTCCTTGTGCTTAAAATTTCCTGCTGTTTCTAGATGACATTCCCAGGTCCGCCACAAGATGTCCAGGAGTAGTCATGCTTTCCCAGGAATGGGAACAGGTTTGAACATTGCTACAAAGTTTTTACATTGTCTCTAATAATTTTGAATTTTTCTGTTACTAATTGTTCTTTCTGCTTGTTTTTCAGGTACATATTCGATTTATTTGGGCATTTTTGAAATTCGGGCGCGTTCGTTATCGGTATATGTACTTTTTTGTTTACTAATATTCCACTCCTACCTCATAATATCATTATTATTTTATAATTTTTCATAATTTAGATTCATTTATTATTTATTTATTTTATTCTTAAAAAAAATTAGTTCCGAATATCTACCAAATCATCCTTACCCAGTATTTTTATTCTTTGTTTCGATTCACAGGTATAAGTGATAAACGATATTCGCGAGAGACCTGGAGAGGTGTAACGAAATACTTATCGAGTGCGGGTTGCGACGCGTTTTAATTTAACAATTTAATTGAATCGCGATCAATTAGCTACCGAAGGAGGGTCGTGCCTTGTCCCCTTTCACCTGTTAGGGAAAGTACGCAGTGTTTACAAAAAATGTATCCGAATATGCGACAAATCGAGTGCGGGACGCGATTAAAAATTGGAAAGTATTGCGTAATTCCATGAAGGTTTGTACGGGACCTCAACGGACTTCAAGCATCCTACCAGCGGTTTGGACTCAAGATTGTATTAAAATATCAACGCCTTAAGTAGTGAGTACACCTGACACCAAACTGGCTGTCTTGTATCTTTATGCGCCATAAATGCACGTGCATACTATCGTCGGTATAGCTTCGTCTGTTACCCCAATAAATTATATTATTTTAAATTTCTATCTAACAGAGAATTTTCCAATCTTTCATAATCAGCCGTTCGTTGGTCGCTATCTCTTTTCCTTTAGAAGATATTCACTATCGACTATAGTCGAAAAAGCATTTTTTTCTTAAGAATAAAATTTCATCTCTCAGATTTCGGTTTTAACTATCCTATCTGATTAAGATTGGTCCGTAGATTAAGACGCTGCGATCAGATCTTATTTATTTCTTTTAGTTTACGAGATATTCGCGATTGAATAAAATGGGCA